CATGAGTGTGATCTAGCGCCATGAGACCGACACTGCGACACTGCTACGTTGTGACCATGCTGGCGGGTGACGGGTTGAATGTCGTTGGGTTGAAAGCATCTGTCACATGGCTCTCGCGTCACTCGTCACATGATCTCTCAATGGGCAATCGCGGCCGGCAATCGGGGGAAGGTGCAGCCGACCACCATACCTCGCCACCGCCGCGAACAGCACAGATACATATGTATCGCTCTAACCATGGCCGCCGCTACCTCGTCTCGGGGTTCCAATGCACTGTCCACCAGAATCACCAGCGTCCTCTCGGCGTCCTATGCTGACCTGGAGATACGCGATGCCCTGGAAACTCTGGACGCCCGCGGTGTTCGCAACACGGCCGAGACCAGAAGACAGCTGCGTTTGGATGTCCAACGAGAGGTGATCCAGTGCAACGGCGAGATTGTACAAGGTTTTGGAGAAGTCGCCGAGGTTTGTGAACCTCAGCCAACCCCGAGTCGACGCTGAAGGTAAACAGCAACTGAAACGTATCGGGACAGCTATAAGCAGTTTGAACAGCTATTGCGCGGAGATGCGCAGCCACATTGCCGCCGCACACCGCGAGACTGAGCCAGTGCTGGAGGAGGCGACAATCCTCATCGGCCAGAGAAAGCAGGTCGAAACCAAACAGCAGATCCTAACTGCTTTCAACACGCACTTTCTCGTTTCAGAGGAGGAGACGACCTCGCTGACATCGACCGCTGAGCCTGTAAATGAGGAGTTCTTCCAAACGCTTACCAGAGCCAAGAAGATTCACCACGATAGCCAGGTCTTGCTGGGGACAGAAGATCAAACACTAGGCCTCGAAGTGCTCGAGCAGAGCTCGAAACAGATCAATGCTGCCTACCAAAAGCTCTATCGCTGGATCCAGCGGGAGTTCAAGACGCTAGATCTCGAAAATCCTCAGATCAACGCATCCGTCCGGCGCTCCCTGCGTGTTCTTGCTGAGCGACCAGCTTTGTTCCAGAGCTGCCTGGACTTCTTCGCCGAAGCCCGGGAAAACATCCTCTCCGATTCCTTCTACGCCGCCTTGACCGGGTCTGTTGAGACACAGAACTTGACCACCAAACCGATAGAGTTTCAAGCGCACGATCCGCTGCGGTACGTTGGAGACATGTTAGCATGGGCCCACTCGGCTACCGTCTCTGAGAGAGAAGCATTAGAGGTCCTGTTCATATCCGATGGCGACGAGATCAAGCGGTCCATTCAAGCAGGTCTGGAGAGTGAGCCCTGGCTACGTGGAGACGACGATGAGGAAATCTTCGACGGGAAAAAAGCCCTCAATCAGCTAGTCAGCCGAGATCTCACGGGCGTTGTTCGATTACTCCGGCAGCGCACCGAACAGGTCATACAGAGCCACGACGATGCTACACTGGCTTATAAGATCGCCAACCTCATTGGCTTTTACAAGAACACTTTTGCCCGACTTTTGGGAACCAACTCTGAAGTTCTCGAGCTCTTCAACACACTGGAGGGCTCGGCGATGAGACAGTTCCGCGCCAATATGAGGGACCACGTTGCAGCAGTGCAAAACGATTTGGCCGTTGCCCCGGCAGACCTTTCGCCACCCGAGTTCCTGGATGAAGCACTTCAAATGCTCAAAGTCCTTGCAAAGAGCTACGATACATCCATTGCTGCCGTAGACAGCCGCGAGGATGGCTTCCAGTCTGTGCTTTCTGAAGCATTGGACCCATTCCTAAGTGGGTGTGAGAATCTGTGCAAGGGAATGAAAGCCCCCGACAACGACATTTTCGCGATCAACTGTCTGCTGGCAGTGAAGGTCGTGCTCGCTCCGTATTCATTCGCTGAAGACCGGGTCGCTGAGATGGACGACACAATTGCTGAACATGCGGCGAAGCTTGTTGATTATCAGCATCAATATCTTGGCCATTCTTCGGGCCTGAACGCTCTTCTCGAAGCCTTGTCCGATATATCCGATTCATCGGAGAGTCTCAAGACTATCCCCGAGCTGGAAGCGTTCAAGCCAGAGGCACTCGTTGCGGCAAGCCATGAATTGGACGAATTTCTTCCTTCAGCACTTATGGACGCTGCCGAAAATCTCAAGCGCCTTGGAAATAGGAAGATGGTACAGGATATCACGGAGGAAGCAGCAAGAAGGTTTTGTGAAGACTTTGAATTTGTGGAGAGCAGAATACTCGCTGCCGATGATTTGCTGTACAAGGAAGAAGACGAGGAGGAAGACGAGCCTGCGCCAGCCTTGAGGGATCTGTTCCCGCGTACCAGTGGGGAGATCCGCGTGCTTCTGAGCTAGACCGAATCCATGTCGCAAATAGGGTTGAAAAGGCTTTGTGCAGCTCGTCGCATCCATTTGCCTCCCGAATCGCCCCTTGCAACCATTAACAGCTGATCCGTTGATGCACCATCGCTATGCATGTCTGTTTGAGAGAAACCCCGTCATTATAGCCAGAGATCATGTCTGTGGCTTCTTCTTTTCCCACTCTTCAGGCGTATGGCACTTTGGCGTCCAAGCATGAATCGCAGCAATCTCCTCTTTGAGCACGCCATTCACCAAACGATGCCTCGCCAGCGTCGTCTTTTTCGCAAAATGAGGCGACACAATGATGGCCTCGAACATTTGCCCGCATCCACCTAAAGGTTGATCAGCCCTTTCCCCAAACCACCCCGTTCCGCTGGACTGCAGGGAGGGCGGAAACTCCCCAAATCAACTTCGGAAATCTCAAACCTACCACTCATATCCTCAATCTCCACATACGTAGCCCCTAGCCCCTCTTCCAGCCTTTTCTTAATCGCTTGGGGCGTGACCCCGGAGCTAGCAGCTTCGCGCGTGGCCTCAGTATCCGTCCGTGCACTCATCGTATTTTCGGGGTCGATGTCCAGTGCGTCGAGTTGTTTGTAGAGTTTGTGGCGGGGATCCATTGAACGATGGGCAGAGCCAGATCTTCGAATCTTATCAATCTGATAAGATGGCGGGGGGGTTCAAACTGTTGCGGATGATGACGTGATGGGGGTGGAATGGTGGTCCGTGCGATTAGGAGCGGGTTTCGTTGGCTTGGCGAGGAATACCTACCTAAGGTAAGGTACGTATGTAGATGGAACGAGGCTCGTCCTGTATGTTTCTTCCTACGCTAAGACGTTCCTTTACGATGAGTGCGACCACCAGCTCTGCCCCGTTTACATGGGCGGTGGTAAGGGCCATGCGGAAGCTGTAAGTTCTTTCAAGCTTGAATCAGTTCTACAAGGTACGCTCGTCGTGCAAATGCACGCGCCGAACCTCCATACTGGCTCTCCAAATATGGGTTTTCTCTGAAACGGAGACGGGCTTGAGGTCTATGCTTCCATGTTTCTGGACCTGAGGAGTTCTGTCAGACATCATCGCATCCTTTCCTCGCCCACGAAGCTCACGCGCATGTAGCTACCCGCAGGCCCTCGCCGACAACTCCTGGGACAATACCGGTCTCCTCCTCGAAGCTCCCTTCGTCCCCTCCCGCCGCCAATCGAACACCGTCCTCCTCACCATCGACCTCACAAAAGCCGTCGCCGACGAAGCGATCGCACTCAACTCTTCCATCATTGTTGCATACCATCCCATCATATTCAGGGGCTTGAAGTCACTTTCTCTCGCAAACTCGCAACAACAAACATTGCTCAGATTAGCGAGTCATGGCATCAGCGTATATAGCCCGCATACAGCGGTGGATTCTGCGCCGGGAGGATTAGGAGATTGGTTGGCGGATATAGTGACAAGGACGAAGACGAATAATGAAAGAGGAGAGGAAGAGGAGGTGCAGACTCCGTCAGAAAAGCTGTCACAACAAGCCGAGGACGACCCATTCGCGGAGAAGAGACCCCCGCTGTTCACGCTTGCCCACCACCCAAGCCAGACCATCCTCCGCATAGGCAGACTCTCTAGTCCTACAGCAGAATCCGTTCCCCACACACGCCGCGCCATCATCCCTCAGTCCCCAGAGCTAGAATCACATCCTGGTGCCGGCATGGGTCGCATCATCGAATTCAAAACCCCACAGCCTCTAACAGCCCTCCTCGACCGCATAGGGAAGGGGCTCAACAACCCGAAAGGCTTCCCGATAGCCATCCCGCAAAACGCCACCCTCTCAGAGCTCAATATCTCCTCCGTGGGTATTTGCGCCGGCTCCGGTGCCTCATTACTCTCCAATCTCAATGTAGACCTGCTCTTCACGGGCGAAATGAGCCACCATGAGGCGCTTGCGGCGGTAGAAAAAGGACAAGTGGTGATCAATCTGTTCCATAGTAATTCCGAAAGGGGCTTCTTGAGCGAGGTGTTGGCAGGCCAGCTAGAGGAAAGCGTGGAGCAGGAATGGAGTAGGGTTAGGGAGGAAAAGGCAGAGGACGAGAGCTTGAAGGATGCCCTTGTGGACGATGACTTTGAGGTCCTGGTTAGCGAGGTGGATCGGGATCCTTATGGGATTGTCATCTTGAATGAATGAAGCCCACGACGAATCCAGTGAAATAGAAGTAGGCAAGAAGTGGATAGCAAACAATCCAACCGAGCATTGATAATTTTCGAGTTCTAAATTGCAAAGACGTCTATCATCTTCCACTACATAGGCATGTTCGAGGATATCGCAAAAATTGCATCCTCTTAAAGGATGCATGGCGCGCACCCCTTACAGCAACTTACGACACCAGCTACTCGATCAGACATCCCTCCACAGTGTAGCATGGCCCCTCTGTGCATAGTGATAATTGCCATTGGCGACGGTATTGAGATGGAAGGGTGTTGATACTTCTGCGGCGAATACCAGAGTTATGCTAGGGTACCATGCCGTACATGACACCTGTCTAATTACTAGTCAGCCCCGCACTTCACACTCATCGAAATTACCGTGACGCGCACCTTCCTAGCTATTGTCCGTCGCTTTGTTTTTATTATAGCTAGTACATATTTATGCTAATATTAAAAATTATCATAAATCAAGCGTCACCAGCTCACAACGAGCTGAACATCCTCCGTGGCGCAATTGGCTAGCGCGTCTGACTGTTATAAAGTAGCGATCAGGAGGTTCGTGGTGAGTTGGCTAAACTAAGATGACATCCCAGCATGTACCTAACTTGCCTTAGGTTCGAGCCCACGCGGGGGAGTAACTATTTTCTTTTTGTGATTTCTAATGCATTCTTGGAGTTGGAGTTGGTGGTGGCCAGGCCGTTTTTGCGAGATTTGGAATGGGACTTGATCATGAAAGAGCCTCATTATTTTTTGTAACAAGCCTAAGAGGTATAACTCACACTGATTCCTCCCGCTACCCTATCATAGCTTATAGCTCGTCTTCGTAGGAATCACTCCTCTCTTCGTCCTCATTCTCACTTATAAACCCCCTTGGGATATCGCTCCGGCCAGCGAGGGCATCAGTCTTCTTCTAGGTGCTAAAAGGTCTGTTCCATATTTGTGTAATGTGTAACCACACCTCGTCAATACATAGTACAGTTGTTGACCCCTTGCTAGTAGCAACGCTGCCATGCGTTCTGTTTTATACTGCTAACAGTACCCGTTTCTAGACAACTCCTCGCTAGATCATATTTCAGTTGAGCGCGACTGTGCACGCTGGTTGCGATGCTATCTTAAGGCTGGTAAAAGCATACAGTATGCTCAGCCACCATCACCTTTACACTGTTTAGGCCTGTTTTTGCTTCCTGGGTACGGAAGTTGACGGATTTTTGGCCAAGGCCTTGGGAGATGCTATTTTATGATCTGCTCTCATGTTGCGGTTGAAATGCTGATCGATATGCACGTGGTTGCAAAGAAGAATGTGGGGTACACCATTAAACTCATTCAATAGTGATTCATTGCAACTATTGATCATCAAGCACACTCACGGCCTGCCACACTTCCTCTTGTAATGTAATGCAAGTTAACCCATATTTCAATTATAAAGGGATATTTGGCGGGCATTTTTGGGGTTGCACCGGTGCTTAACCACATGGCTGCCGCTATGGCCCTCCTGTAGCGCAAGGCGTGCTTGTGGTGTTGCACTTGGTATCAATGCTTATCATGTGCCCCGCATCCCTCGTCGTCGGACCGAACCTTGGGATCGGCTTTTGTCGAGGGTTTCGTCTTCTTGTTAGACTCAACCTTGTCGTCAGGTGCGATCTTGACGCGAGTTTCGACCTTGACATTGACTTTACTCTCACCGGGCCGATGGCTTTTCTCTATGCCATCATAATATCAGCAAATCGCAAAAGACACAACGCAGTCCCAAATGCAAACGATTGCGAGGATCAGATGTCCGGCTTCCCACCCATGACTTTGGCAGCCTGGACGGCGTTCATCTTCTGCGTCCATCCTGCCGCAGGCACGAGCCGTCTGACCGTCCTCGCCTCGTCGGAAGCATAGCCGGGGATGCGAATGTTGTAGTTGCGCTCGAGGACCAGCTGGAGATCGCGGACGTCAAGCTGCGGGGACTCGCGGAGCTTGGAGAGCTTGCAGGCGTTGCTGATGACGGTGTCGACAAAGTCGTCCGCAAGCTGCAGAATCGCCTAAAATTGTCAGCAAGGTATGCTAAATCTTGTCAAATAGGTTGGTCCTCACCTCCTCAACTTCCGCAGTCAGAGCCTCGTCCGACCCGCCCGTGACCTGGCGAACAAGTTCGTCGAGCTTGCGCTTGCTGAGCACACGATCGCCCTCCCCCTCGAGCTGGAACGGCGGGAACTTGTTGATCACTGGCTGGCCCATCGGGCCCGGCGCACCGTTAGTAGGGCCGCTCATCGTGGGACGGGCTTGGCCCATGCCTACTGGCACGGGCTGTGTGACGGTCATGTTGCGCGCGATAGGCATCTTTGGGTTGTTCAGCTGCTCGCGCTCGCGACTGCCGGGGGCTTGGAAGCCGCCTGGTCCCGCTTGCTGCATTGGGGTCGCGGTACGCTGGCCGTCGGGGTTTGAGTACGATCTTTGCGCCGCAGTGACAGCAGCCTGGTGCGTGAGAGGAATTGGCTGGCCTGCGGCGTTGGAAGTTGCTGATTGCGGGTGTGGTGAGTTCGTCTGCTGTTGCTGCATGGCGTTCGCCTGGTGCGGGTTTATCTGGGGGCGGTGCGATTGCTGTTGCTGAGATTGCGGCTGCCCGGGCTGGGCGAATTGCGGGTGCTGGTTCTGATGTGAAAGCGGCGCAGGTGGCTGTCGCATAGGTTGCTGCAGCGCTGGAGCCTGCGCGTTCTGTTGCGGCGGTTGTTGCGACTGCGCGAGAGCACCACCCTGTACATTTGCGAACTGCTGTGTCGGCATAGCCTGTGGCAATTGCCCCCCTTCGACCTTGATTTGCGGCTCCTCTTTGATGGTCGGCTGGGACAGCTGTCGCTGCTGTTGCTGTTGCGCGGGGCCTGGTTGCGGTGGTTGCGCCGGCTGCCCTTGAGTCTGCTGCTGCGCTCGTCGCTGGTCTTGTTCGGCCTTGTTCTGCGCTTGTTTCTTCCTGAAATTCTCCACGAATTCTTTCGCCACGTTGTACTCCTTTTCCATGGTCTGCTTCTGGGCATGAAGCTCTTGTGGAATCTCCTGTCCCGAGCCCCGGCGCTGTTCCATCATGTTGTTCAGCATCTTGATGCGTTGGTTCGCCCGATGCTGCTTGTTCAGAGCCATGAGATAGCTGTTCCTCATCTCCTTGATCTTTGCGTCGCCCTCCGGCGTGCCATCTTGCGGGCCGGAGGCAGGGAGCCAGTACTTGAAACTCTGGACATGTTTGATGATCTCGGGGTCGATCTGGGCTTGCGGGTTTGCTTGCGGTGGGCGCTGACCTTGGGCGGGGTTTGCGGGCTGCGGCATTGGCTGCTGCTTGGCTTGCTGCTGCTGTTGCTGTTGATGTTGCTGCTGGGCGGGTTGTTGTTCGTGGGCGGGCTGTGAGGCCTGTTGGTTAGGCTGGCTCTGCTGGCTCTGCTGGCTCTGCTGGCTTTGCTGGCTGGCTTGCCCGGGATTCTGTTGCTGCGCTTTGAGCTTCGTGCGGTAGTTCCGCTCCTGCTGAATCAGTTTTGATGACCAATCTTGCAGCTTCTGGCGCGCCTGTTTGTGCTCCACGCTGCCCGGAGGGTTGGCCTGCATGATGGACCACAGGTTGTGCACCACGGGCCGGTACTTTTGCTTCATGTCGTCGCTCAGGCATTGCAGCTTGGGCACATCATCGGCCTTGAGGAGCTGCACGCCACCCTGCTGTTGCGGGGCAGCGCCCGTGGCTCCTTGCGGCGCCGGATTGCTCATGCCGGAGAAGGTGGGCGGAGAGGTCCTTCGGCCTCTTGTGGGTGTTCAGATGTGACGGTGGGCGTGCGCCCTGGTGCTGAAGGTAGAGGTGATGGTTATAGGAGGAATGAGAGTGTTGAGCGGCAGAGGCCTGGCGGGGTTCTGTGAGAGTTGAGATGGTTCACGGAACCGTGAACGAACGGTCTTGGCGAATCCTTGTCCTGTGAATGGTCATGGGTTTCTTCCATGCCACCGGCATCACGTAGCACCACCTACTGTGCAGCGCAAGCTTACAGAGACTCCTGTATTAAATCACAAGGCAAATGATATACATGACCGCCCAGAGGGGGGTGTGATTGCTGTTCCATATCTCCTAGAGAGCACCGGTTGCGAAGTCATCCAACCTCGTTCGACACAACATTTGAAGCACTGAGACCTGTGCCATACTTTGACTCAATTTATCACTAGCTTTGGCCCGAAACATTATTTCCACAACATGTTTATTACGATGCCCGCGCCCAGGCAAGTACCTGTCCCACCGCGCACGGTCCAAGGCAGTATTCGTACGTAGCTGTCGCTTTCCCCCAGAATCGAATGCGGAGCTTCGACGCTCCGAGGTAGCCATCGCAGGTGTTTTCCTCCACCAGCTTTAACCACAACGAAAGATTCAAGTATGTATTGGGTAGTTTGACATTTGCCTTGACCACTTCCTGCGTCTCCCCCCCCGACCGTTCGGCATGACTCCTTGTAGGCGTCGAGGCTCGATGCGGCCTCTTTTCTGCCATGAGCAAATACAGCTTGTCACGCAAGTGGAAACAATCCACAGCATGGCAATCTCAAACTTTGATCGAGGTTGGGAAGCCGAGTACTTCACGGAATCCGATGAATCAGGGAGAAGTACTGAGGTAATCTCCGAGGCTAGATTGCGGAGACCATTGGTAGATGCGACACAGTTCGCGTTGCGTGGCGGGTCGGGTACGGCCAAGCGACGAGACTATAGGCGTGATGATGTTGTGGCTACGTTCATAGCCAAAGATTCGATGCCCGGATACTGTAATTGCATCCGCTCAGAATTCGGATAGTCGAGACATGAAACCGTAATGAACAAGACTGAGTATGTTCTCAAGACCTCAACTACCTCCGGCTACTGACGAAGTGCTAGCGCCCAATAATCCAGCGCTTGCCTCGTTTTCCAAAGAGATCTTCATGTCGAGCCAAGAGTAGAAGTTGGGCGATTGACAAAAGTTCTCGTACAGGGCATCCCTTGCACGATGCCTCTGTATTGGGCCCTGTCCACGAATGTTCACACTCGTACCATGCTTAGCTAGATTGTGTAGGAACTCGGATACGGAAAAGCTCGCATATCGTTGGTTGCCACCAGGCGAGACAACATTGGTGGCTGTGAGATGGCGATTGATGGGCGCGAGGAATTGTGCGGTCAACTCGGCGAAGTGACGTCGAATGAGGGGCCCAAGTTCGTGAGTCTGATCTCCTGATTTGAGGAGCATTTCAATCTGAGAGACGAAGGTGTGGTCCGACTTCACAAAGCGTTTGGTCGGTGTATGAGCTTCGATACCGCCGCCGGGTAGGTCGAGCAGCGCATTCCGACTGGACTTGTGGTGAAGAGAATGATGGCGCTTCGCCGGTACTGGCCCATCAAAATTCTGTAGATATAGTATGTGAGGACGTGAGCGCTGGCTGGTCTCTAGCGCTCCAACGATGCGCTTTAGGAGAAACGGGTTCGTTATGCCGATCACGAATGGCCTTGGGGTACCACCGTCGATACCAATGCAGCGGAAGTCTGACTGCATGGTCATATAAGGTCTCACAATTCCGGCATAAGGGACAGGGCGGACCAGGTCGATCAGCGAGGACACAGCCTCACTTGCCAGCTGGGGTGACTTGGCAACCACGACGATGCTTT